GGTTGTGTGTGTGTATGTGTGTGTGTGTGTGTGTGTGTGTGTGTGTGAGAGAGAGAGAGAGAGAGAGAGAGAGAGAGAGAGAGAGAGAGACTCGTTGAGTTGATGGCAGCAGGGTAAGTGCCAGGATGCCGACCCAGATAGATGGAGAGCTATGATCACCAGTGTCACTGGCAGGTGCTAGGGCCTATTACAGCCTTCAGCTTTTTGTCTTGGCAAGGGAAGGTAAAAACTAAGAAAGGAAAGATAGAAAACAGAAGAGAAAGAAAGATGAGAAGAAAAAAGAGTGAATGGGCCTTCAAGAATGAACTCTTTTCTTTGTTTCAAAAGTTCTGCTTCTAGTCTAAATGTTAGGCCTGCTCATTGCTTTCCCTGAGTTCTTGAATTTCACTTGATTGTATTGGTTTCGTTCTACACAACATCTTTAAAACAAACGCAATCAAAACGAAAATTATCAGTCAAATCGTCTAATAATAAGGTTAAAGTCATGCTGGCTCTTCTCAATGGCGATGGTGTATGTTAAATAATTATGAAGAGTTTGTATTGTATTGACGTGAAGGCAATGTCGTCAGCTTATTGTGTGACTGTGTATGTATCAGTGTGCGTGTGTGTATGAGCGCATGTGTGTGTGTGTGTGTGTGTGTGCTCGCGCGCAAACGCGTTGTGTGTGTGTGTGTGTGTGTGTGTGTGTGTGTGTGTGTGTGTGTGTGTGTGTGTGTGTGTGTGTGCGTGCGCGCGGGCGTGCTCGCTAGTGAAATCACACGTCTTATATAAAAATTGTAATGTTTTTTGTTTTAACTTCTTAATCTTTTCACTCTCTTGAGAGAGAGAGAGAGAGAGAGAGAGAAAGAGAAAGAGAAAGAGCAATCTCACGTGAAAAAAAATAGATCTAGTAGCAAATACATGTCCACCTCTCCTTATGAAGGAGGTATGTTCTGGTCTAGAAAATGGCAACTTGCGTGTTCCTAAACAGCGAGTCTTACAATCTTGTGTGTTCTAAAGTGCACAGATTGTCTCGTTTAATTGAACTTTATCGATGGATAATTGATGCATATGTATCGGTATGTTTTTTGTCATACTTTTGGTTGGGTTTATGTTTTCCTTGTTGTCTCATTATCGGTTCCATCACATTGTTATCATGAACAGTACAGAATAGAAAGACCCGCTTTCAGTCTGTCACTGTCATGTTTGTACTGTCAGATCTACCAGTCACTGAAGTGTGTAACACTAGTGCTGGGTTTTCTTCAAATTTTAGGTGAATTGCGAGCACTAACTCCTCGCTCCAAGTGAGTTGCGAGTAGGCTTGAGGCTTGCACCCTGTGACGTCAGCACCGTGTGACGTCATATACTGTTTCGCGCCAAAGGCCGACAGTGTTGTTAGATCTACTGTTCCTTCTTTCTTTTAACTCCCCCCCCCTCCACCCTTTTAAAAATAAGCCCCCCCCCTCTCTCTCTCTCTCTCTCTCTCTCTCGCTCCCCCCCCCCACACACACATATAAACAGAAGTAAGTAAAGAAATTAGGAAAGTATAACGTACAACAAATGCATTGGCAGGTCATGCATCAACACATTCTACAGTCCAAAACCAATCATAGTCTAAATCTAGTTTGAGCAGCCCTATTCATATGTGTGCCACTATAGCCCAATCGTGTTTCTATAGACTGAACACTAGCGCTACCGACAGCGGGGGCTAGAACTAGCCACCACAACAGTTTGCTGTCTACGCTCACTGCTCACATAGTATATTACAACGCGTTGCCTCCATCGACTGGCTCTACTTCCTGTGTTTTCCCATTCACAAATTAATACATTACCCCTCCGCTCGTCACACGCGCCGTCACCGAGTGCACACCCTGCCCTCACCCATCCCCAGTAGACAGACCGACACCCCTTAGCCCCCACTCCCTTTCAATCACGCGGCATCTCAATGGCTGAAGGACAGACTAGCCTACCTCACAGGCTTAGAGACTCCCATCTATTCATAGCACCATCAATGACCTATGAACTGAGTTGATGACCTATGAACTGAGTTGAAGCTGAATCGATTCACTGAGTTGCCACCGCACCATATATGGTATCAACTCCTGAATCGATTCACTGAGTTGCGAGTAGACGTGATCGCATCCACCGCGCTAAATATAGTGTCAACTCCTGAATCGATTCACTGAGTTGCGAGCAGCAAGTGAGTTGCTCTGGGGTGAATCTCCGGTGTTGCCGCTCCCTGCTTGCTGACAGGCTTTTTTGACCTGCAAATCTACTGCTACTCATACAAAGGCTGGCTGTACCTTGTCTTGACATCATAAACTGTCGTGAGCTCATTACTTTTTAACAATTAAGATTCAGATTCATGGTAGAAATTCTTTGCTACAACTCTGAATCACAGAAATTGCACTGAGTTGAACTGAGTTGCTCAAGTGAGTTGGGAGTTGATTCCCGGAAGTGGGAGTTGCGAGCAGTGAACGGAATCGATGCCAGGATCCAGCACTATGTAACACACACTGAACTGTCTCATCGGAAAACGCTGTCATCACGATAAATAAATGGAGGAAAATAATGTAACAAACTGTCTGCTTGTCTTCAGCACGACAGTCTAGAGGCTTAGGCGCTAGGGATTAGATCAGCATGATTTTAATAATAGAAAGTGGCTATTCTCACCCGCCCGGAAGTTCTCGCAAGATCAACTCCTCCCCTCTTCTCTCTCTCTCTGTCTCTTTCTGAATACTGTCTATCGGTGTGGACGATCAAATTGACCAAAACAAAGTTAAAAAATGATGTTAAAACACAAAAGTAAATAAATTTGGTTGTCTACAAAGATGCTACGGCTATTTAACTTTTCGAATCGAGCCAAACTACGCGGGTCGCCATTTTGTTTTGCCCGGAAATTCTCGCGCTACTCCTCTCTCTCTTTCTCTCTCTCTCTCCACTGCCCACAGACAAAATTGTACGCTTTTTGTAATGGAACGTTTGTTCACGGCACAGAATTCTACAATATTTTTCTGTTATCACAGTGTAGAATTCTGTGGTTTAGGGTGAACGCGCACCGGGTGAGAATAGCCACAAGACTCACCTGCACTATTCTCACTCCGGGTGAGAATAGAGGTGGCCTTAATAATAATAATAATAATAATAACACGAAGTGACTATTTCTCCGAACGTTCGTGAAAATGAAGCTGAACTTTATTTCTCCGAACGATTTTCGATCTCGAGATTTTTTGGGTTATGTGCGAGATTTATGCGTCATCCTTTCATTCTGCCACTCTGCGAGGACTGGGAAGAAGCATTTTTTGCATGAAATTCAATTTCTAGAGCTAGAGATTTTTAAATGTCTGAATATTCAAATTCAGATACTTCAGTCGTGGTTGGGACATACTCCATTTGAAAATACCTCCAAAAGGTACTTCGAGTAAACAAGACTGCTCGACCTTGGCAGTAACCTATTTTGCATTTAGTCGCCCAGCAAAAACTGAAATCCTTCATGTAAAAAAAAATCCCTCCACGCCCCCCCCCCCCCCCCCAAATCCGTTCACACCTTACACACACACACACACACACACACACACACACACACACACACACACACACACACACACACACACACACACACAGGCCACTCCTTTCGCTTATTATCAGCAAATCTCGAGAACGGAAACCGTTCGGAGAAATAGAGTCCAAGTTTATTTTACCGAACGTTCGGAGAAATAGAGCCGGCCATATATATATATATATATATGCTTTCGAATTTCGACCTCCACCACAGTCACAGAAGTTGCTACTGATTTACGTCTTGCTGTCGATATAGAATGAAGTTTATGAAGTTTCGACTTTATCGCTGGCCAGCTGTTCAGTTATTACTAGAAATTTAAAAAGTGGCTAAAAGCTAAAGCTTGACATTTTGGATTTTAAAAAAATTTGTAATGTCTTAATGTGTGTGGGTTACTTGACATGCGGCTAAATGTAGAACGACGCACCTGCCTGATTGGCGGCTATTTTTAGTAATGTGATGTCTTCTCATCCTGGGATACCCACAGACTATTTTAGAAGGCCGTGGAGATCCCAAAGATCGTGTGTACAGTCAAATGGAAAATCTTTGGTACAGTAGAGAATCCTTGGAGATACCTCTTGGAACGACATATGTTGGTTCAGTGTCTTGACGTATTATAAATCCGTATCAATGTGTTTCGCACGTTAAAATTTCACACTTGCGGCTGACTATAGCCAGTCAGCCATGCTCTGCTGAATGGTTACAAAGTTACCGGTATGTTAATAACATTTCGGAATTCCGGTAGTGATGCTTGAAATTGAAACGCAGTAAATGCAATAAAGTGCGCAAAAATTGCCATAAAGATGCTGGAAGATTACCCCACCCCCTCCCCTGGGTGCGATAAACACTTCGCAGAAGAGATAAGCAAGCATCATCGAAGCACCGCATCATAGGCCTATCACTTTTCCGGTATTCCTGGAAAAACTTCGCATCAAAGCGTCGGACCATCAAAGATTCTTTTCACGATCTTTGATGCCATGCAGTTGGCTATAATTAGATGTAGTCGTGTGATCGGAGGGGTATACCGGTCTGACGTCACACAAGATGGCCGCCTTACCTAAAAATATTTTGCGTCGTTCTACGTTTAGTCGCCTGTGTTACATGTGCTCAATATATTTTGTTGAAATTCAATTTCTAAATGTTGAAAAAAGAAAGGGGGTGGGGGGTGGGGTCATGGAGGACAAGCTGACCACAACATAATATTTACACTGTGTACACACCTGCTCAGAATATGAATTAAAAACTCATGTGAGCACTGCTGAAGCAGATCCGTCAATCCCTGTTTATATTGGTTTTTGCTTGGTTCACACGTTCTGTTCTCATCAGCTCGCATACATGCACTGCTATTCACAATGGATCAGAATCCCTCACAACAATGTTAAAGTAAAAGTAAACAGGGTTGGTTACCTGTCCACTGTATTTGAACCTTATTTGACTGAACTTCCAGCCATTTGATCTATCACTTGGAGAAGGTTACTCTAGCACTTTGCTGGCCAGATTTTAACTTTTGAAGTGCATCAGCGACTTCTAGTGAATTATTAATGTGTGGCCTCTAGCAGTGACTTAAAATTGCTGTACTGGAGAAGTGTTGAGACATGTTGTCCTTCATTTCTTCCCAAGCTGATGTAAAAAGAAATAGCAAAACATTGTTACTTTTTATTTCCACCCCATGGTAAAATTTGTTCACAGGATTTCTACACCTTACAGCATTGGGAAAAGCTACCCAAATGTGTGCAAGAGTATTTTGATGGGTGCAGTCCTTCTGAATTGTGTTGGCTGCTTACAACAGATGAGAAGCAGTTACATGTTCATCAAGAAAGGTACATGTCATGTCTGTTCTTAAAATTCTGTGTCTGATAGTATTGTTTAGTATTTTCTTTCTTATAATATATAGTTAAACTAGTGCATGAGGTCTACTGTTTGTATTGCACTTAATATTTTATCCGGCTGTACTTTAAAAGCTTTGTAAAATATAATATAAAAATGCTGCTCTATTATTACTGCTGTAATTCCTCTTCCTTTCTTTACCCTCTTTTTGTAAAAAAGACTTCTGGAGAAAAATTGCATTATCACTGAAAACATATGATGTTTGTCACTTGTAGTCGAATCAGGCGTTCGTCAATTTTTAGGCATGTGGAGTTACTGGTTATATCATATTAAAGTTTGCTAATTTATCTTGCTTTCGATGGAAAAAATACCCATCTTTCTAGAGCTGAAGTCAAGATATTTGCATTGAAGAAGATGGGCGTCACCTGGGTTCAGAGATGAAATTAGCGAGAAAATTGTCATCAAGGTTTGGTGATTTCCAAAGCTTGAGAGTACTTTGAAACTTACAATTTACCATCTTTGTGCGTTTAATCAATGTTTTTCAGTAAAACCCACACAGAAGTGTATTTTCAAAAGGACAGAAAAAGGTGGTAAGCCAAAAAAAAGAAAAATTCAACCAAAATTGCCAAACCATTGGAAAAATGCAAATTTCTTTGATTTCATTGTTTTGGTGAGAACCTGATTTCACCACGATGCCTCACATATATTGTTAACTGCTGCCTTTCTCTCCTGTATTCATATGGACCATTACACAGTTTTATTTTGGGGAGGACTTATTTGATGGAAACTTTTCCTTTTTTTTTTGGATAAGTGTTTTATGGGGCTCGCAACTGCATAAGGACACACCAAACATTTTCAGGTAGTAGGAAATTTTGAATTTTGCTTGCGTGGCGTCCGAAGCCTACTCTTATCGATTTTAGACCACCAAGGGATCTTTAACGTGCGCAACTTGCACATGAGACCTCCGAGATTTTCGCCCTTGTCCGAGACGGCTAGGTGTAGATCTTTCCCACCAGAAGATCAGGGGTGTGGCTGAAAGACAGCAGTAAAAAGGATCCAAAGAGTAGCAGTAGAAAGGCTGCACAAAGAGTCAGGATCCCAGAGGAGGGGGCAAAGAACTTTTCCTTTGTTTCAGATCTGTATCTCCTCTTCCAAATCGCTTTTTTTTCTTCCGATTAATTTTTTTATCTTTGAGAGAACCTGTTTATTGGAATTTTTTTCTGTTTCATATCTTTAGCTCCTGCACTACATTATTAGAAGCAACTTGTTTGATAAACATTCAAAGTGTTTACTTTTTGGGAGGACACTGTTTATTTAGAATTTGTTTTTCTTTATTTCAGAGTAGCACCTCTGTGCTTACTTGCTCTTCAGTGCAGTCTGGAGGCATTATCTCTTAGGCGAACTGCTGTTGATGTGACCTCCGAGGAAGCAGTGAATGGCATTTGCAATGTTCTTAATAAAACTGACAGAGAGGCTGCAGCTGATAAGGAAGGAGACAAATCTGAATTGCCTAATTCAAAACATTTTGACATCAAGAGCAAACCCTCTCGAGCACCACAGTACAAAAATGGTCAAAATATGGATATGAAACACATATTCAGAAAGCATGTGAAACCCAAAAAGCAGCATGAAATCCAGAAGTTGGGACAGGTACAGCATTGCTTTCAAATTTGTACTCAAGTTTTCATTTCAAAGATAATTTTTTAAGTTTTTAATCTGTTGATTGATTGTGTCACATTTTCCAAAGGGATATAGAGAGAAAAAGGTAATTATTTTTCTTCAGGAATAAGATTCTGACAATTTTTTTATTGAGCTTGTTTGTTCATTCTGAGACAAATATATAAATCATTTTGATAATGTTGTTGTATAAGGCTGTGAAAAACCTTAATTAATACTCAAACATGTAGATATTTTCCAGTGAAATACTTGCTCATCAATAGTTTTTCATTTCTTCTTTTTGCTGGAAAAGGAGAGAAGACCAGAGGATGGTCACTCTTTGTTTGGCTTTACATGGTTATGTCTTCCTCAGACTATTTCTCTCCTAGCTGAGACCGCAAACTGCAGCCATGTTGTGGATGTGGGTGCTGGCTTGGGTCACCTGTCTAGACTTCTGAGTTTTCAGCATGGACTTCATGTTACCACAGTGGAGGCTGCTGATGGACATGCCCCAAAAGCTGCCACTTTTGATAGGTACTTATTTTTTTTGTCACGGGAAAAAAGGATAGTCAGCTGCATTTGATTTGTTTAATTACCCTTCTTTTTTATGTAAAGTAAATGTCTCTATAAAGTAGCTCAGCTATGGAATTGCTTCTACTGAGGGTTTTGCTCATATCTCAAAATTTTTAAAGTTTTCTATTGCCGACCCGTCTGTCTTGCCTGTCCTGATAGTTTTTTTTTATACAATGTAGTGAACAAATAAGAAAACTTGGATTCTTCGACACTTGATTTTGATACATGCACACTAACTTTAGAAATAGAATAAATTGCCTCATATAGAAACCACATAATTCTATTACAGCTTTTTCACTTTTGTCTGACAGTGGATAAAGCAAGATTAGATCATGTAGGTCTAAAAGGTAGATGATCAATATAATTTATCAAAACCCATTCATAAAAGTCACTGCAACCTAAGGTTCTGACACATTTTCTTTGATGTTCGCCAAAAGTAGTTAAAAGATAATAATAGGGGATTTACAGCATTCACTTAAAACAACACTTTAACGTATGCTTATGAAATACGGTGAAAGGCAATGATGATGATGATGATGAAATACGGTTCAGGAGACGGGAGAGTACTGTTTGAGACACATGTGGAGACATCTAGACAGTTGTGGGATAAAATCTGTCAAAGCTTCACTGAAATGTAGGGGCATGGTGGTGTCGCTGTCTCAAAATAAGCAATTTGTTGGCTAGTTTGCTGTAAGTCATTTATTTTAGTCATCCAAAGAGCTGTTTTTAATTAGGACACAAGTAGAGAAACTCTTTTATTACTGGGTCAAGATTTTTTGAAAAAATACAGTTACTTGGGTATAAGTAAATTAATATATGAGCTAGAATTTTTTAAAAACGCAAACAGATGAAAGTGAACAAGCTATAAGTGCATTTGGCAAATGTTATTATTAAGCTCTGAAGACTGAGGAAGAGAATTCTGTTGCTCTCTATTGGTAGTGGGGAGTGGTGTGTCATTTGATGTCTACTATTTGCTAAGTGCGTGATTTGTTGTTCTTCATCAGATACTTTCAGGTATTATTCTTAGGGTGCTTGTTTTTTTTTATTGTTAGTTTTTAAAATTAACGTTCTCACTTTGAACTACAGGGAGATGAAGAAGGAAATACACAAGGCACTGTTAAAGGTAAGCACGTAAATGTGAAGAAGTTTATTAAATCTGATCAGTGATAGCAGCATTCAGCTCTCTAAGTAGAAAGCTAAATCATCAGAAGGCTGATAAAGACAGGAAGAATACATTGTTTTCATTTATACCAGTACAAGTGGAAAGTTTTTTAATTAAAGTGTTATTCTCATAAAATTCTTATCCTATAATATAATGCAAAAAGGAACATAATATTACTATCTAGTCTGGTTCACAAACATCATTGCTGGTCAACCTAGTGCCGTGTGAGTGTATAGGTAACTTGTATTTTGCTTTCATTTTCAAAGTGTATGTAACGTTAGGGTACTGATTTTTTTTTCAGATTGTCATCCAATTTTTATCTCTTGAGGATACTCATTCTCTTTCTCTTTCTCTCTTTCTCTCTCTCTTTCTCCCCTCCCCCTCTCTCCTCCCTCTCTCTCCTCCCCCTCTCCCCTCCTCCTCCCCCTCCCCTCCCTCACCCCCTCCTTCACCCCTCCCCCTATTTCACCCCTTCCTTCACCCCCTCCCCCCGCCTCTCCCCTTCCCCACACCCCCCTCCCCAGAGAAAAGCTGAGAACTTGGCTGAGGGTCCTGTTACCGAGGTGTCTGATGAACCTGGGCAACATGGTAAAAAATCTGGTTCTCCAGATGATGAACCCAAATCTGGCAACCTCCAGTCATCATCAGATACACCTCTGCGAGATCATGAAAGGATGGTTGGCTTGGAACGCGAGGCTACTCCTGATCAATCTGAGCGTCTCATGGAGAGTCCTGTTGAAACGGGAGCTACTGCAGAGGAAGATACCAGTCTGCCCCATCATCTTGTGTGCTTAATCCAGCCTGATATAGCTGCCTCACAGTTTATGGAAATACTGAGTACAAGAACACAGAAAGGTAATCATATTTGGATAAACGTTATAGAATTGAAATTATGTTGCTTTTTTTTTTTTTGCTATTGGTTTTTAAGTTAATGTGCTACTAAATTCCTTGTTGGTGATTGAAAAGATTGGAGGATTTTCTGCCCCCTCTGGACGAACAGGCAGAGAGGGTATATTTTTTACTGGAATGATGACAAAAGTTCAGATATTGCAGAATTCCTAATTTTTCATGCAATCACCAAGTTTGTAGTCAATGTTCATGCAGTTCTTGGCGTGTTATTGTTGGAATATTCTGTTGGAAAGTTTGCTGCTTTGATGGAGCTGGGTTTTAGTTTTGTTGTTGTATTGGATCATAGTTTTTTGGGGGTTTTTTTCTGCTGTGGAAGTTAGTTGAAGACAGGTCTGTTATCCTTGCTATTTTCAACAGGTTATGTGGGTGGTTGGAGGGTGCTCTAGTGTGGTTTGCTTCTTCTTTCCTATCCAACATCTATCGTCCTTATCTCCACTTCTTTTTTATGTTTGTTACTCTCTTGTAACACATCTAATCTTCTGGCGCTCATATGACCTTATGCAGTTGTGAGCACCGTAAAACCTCTACTAAACTAAAACTAAAACAACAGGTTATCTCTTTATGTTTAAGTGTGTGGGGTTTAGATCATATTTTTTTGGGAGGGGGGGGGGGATTAAATATGTCACAGGATGTGTATATCCACATAGGTATTCGCATGATATTGCTTCCATGATTTTAATGACGCAGTTTGTGGCTCTCAGCACATAAAGGTAAAGACTATGTAATGCAGTGTGTGGCTTTGAGCATTTAAAGAATTATTAGTTATGACTTGGGAACCAGCAAGTCCGTGTTAGAAAAGGGAAGTCATGGTGGGTCTTTGTGTCTGCAAAAGTTGGTAATCATTTACATCTCTTTACTTTTGGTATACCTCGCTTTTAGACCCGAGTGACCTCTTTTAGTGATATTTATAAACTAAGTTGATTGAAGAAAATGATGGGATTTACTAACTGAATTGAGTTGGGTTTTTTTTTCCATCTTCAAAAAGTCACTTTGTCTTAATTCAACAAGGCATTTGACTTTTTTTTTCAATACACATTCCTTTCCTTTTCAATTTCATCCAGTGAACGCAGAAGGCTCACAAGAAGCCTGGGGTCCCCAGTTTGTGTTGGCTGGACTGCATGCCTGTGGCGACCTGACGCCGACCTTGCTGCGAGTGTTCACCGAATGTCCCACAGCCGTTGGTCTTGCCTCTGTGGCCTGCTGTTACATGAAAATAGCTGCTACATCTTGCCCTGCTGATGAGTATGTGATATTGCTTTGAAGTTACTCAGTGAAGAATTAACAAGGATCATGAATGAAGTGATCTTTTATGTAAACTTGGACGTCCATCTTCAGTCTCTATTGTGTTTGTTTTATTTTCCTTGGTTAAGATGTACTCAGAAGTGAGGTTACTTGAACTTTAGTTAAAATGGACTCTTTCTGCTGTTTTACCATCTTATGTCAAAGAAGAGAATCAAGGACATAAAAAAATATGATAGTGTGCATTCTTTTGGGCCAAAGAAAGAGTATGGTATTGTGATCCTGTTTGCTGGGGAAACTAGTAGAAAAGAGTCAATTCTCTTCTCCTTCTTGTACATACAAAGATGGGGGATAACTGTTTATGTTTTAACTGTTCTTGTTACGAGTAATGGTTATGCTGATTTGTCTTAAATTAGCAGAGTTTGGTTTGATGTAGTATTTGAAATGGTTCAATCTGTCACATAGAATAGTTCACTTGGACTTTTAACTGAGGCTGTCTGCAGTGAGCTTGATGTAATTGAGAAAGTGAAATAAAAGAGACTGATGTTAAGAAGTCTATGTTTTTGTTTTTGCTAAAATTGATTCCTAGATTATGTTGGGCTGGTTCTTTCAAATGTATTTTGCTCATGACTTTTGTCTCTTTAAAAAAAGTTTTTTTTTTTTAAACTTCTTATTGCTTTCAGGAGTTCAAATGGGCCTCCATCTTCTTTAGACAATTACCCCATGAGTAGTGTTCTGAAAGCCATACCTCATCATCATCTGACTTACGAGGCAAGAGAAATGGCGTGCCATTTTGCAGATGCGTACAGAGATCGTCTTGAAAGTAAATGTTTTTTAAATCTAAATTATTTTGGGTTTTTCTAGGTTGCCTTGGATATTAAAAAAAAACCATTTTCCTCCCTTCACCCAGCTGCAAATAGGTACTTTGGGTATGAAGGAACCTAGATATTCAAGTAGAAAGGAAAATTTATTCCATTAAAAAAACCTTGTAAATAGTCGTCTAAACAAGTTTGTGAAAACGGTGTCTTTCTAGACTTAAACTGGCAAAGGCGCGAAAGATTTCCAGTATTTTTCTGTTAAAAAGTATCAATGGAATTAGAATTCCTCTTTCACTAATCGTTTGCAAGCTATTCAAATGTTCTAAGTCTAGAAGACAACATTTCTTCAGGTTGGAGGGAAAACTGTTTCATTCTTTTCAGAATTCCTACTCAACCGGGAAAACATAAAAAAGACAGTAATTTCATTTGCCAAATTCCAGGTCAGGAGAACACCTTGAAAATGGATTAAGATGAAAATAAACAGAAGGAAACGGGAAAATCAAAGGATGCTCATCATTGCCAAATTGTTTGAATTTTTACAATATTTAAAAAAAAAATTTCATTTGACTCAAATAAGATCCATCCTTAATTCTGATTTTTTTTAATGCATGTGCCATTTGGCTTCCCCAACCCATCCCCACCTTTCGGTCCGGCGTATAGCTAAGAAAAACAATCAGACCCCGACTGTCTATGTGATACACAGCTAACTTTAGCTGTATTATCACTCTCTACTTTCTGTGTTCAGAGCCCTTGTAATCGCTCAGTGCCACTTTGCTGTTTGAAAAACATTAGTTGCGCCAAAGTCAGGAGTAAGGCCAAACATTTGCATGACAAGGTGTTAAAAAATGCCTGCGTTTTGGTTTTGTGGATGATAGTCTTGGTCGATGAGAGAATAAAAAACAAAAACAAAAACGGATCAAGTTTGAAAATTGAAACAGTGAGCTGCATGGTGTGTTGTTATGCACAATCAGGATCAAAGATGTGTGACCCGTTTTGTTAGTTTCATATTTTTTTGCAAGAGTCTAGTTCACGGCCAATGACTACAACCCTGTGCTGCCCTCCTTTTAAAAAAAATTGACTGTGCCCGCAGAGATCTCGTTCGTTAGGCCTTTGTATACGTTATATCAACTTATATTCATCCTTCCGCCCGTGGAAAGGGACCATCCTTGGTTTTATTATTACGATTTTTATTTAATATGTCTCTTCATTTTTTCTTCCTCGCTCTGTCATCTTTAAAAAAACAAAGAGAAAATAACTCTGAAAATTGTTACAAAATCAAAGAGAAAACTGGGAAAAAAAACAGGAAGAGGCGAAGAATCAGAAGAGAAAAATATCTAGTTCAGTTAATACTTATTGAACATTTTCGTCATGTCTCGACTTTTATCAGTGAAGATTTCTTAATAATAGCCTGATTTTATGTTATGCAATGAATTTCAACAGAGAGTCCACCACATTTGAAGATCCATTCCTACAGAGCAGCCTTCCAGTATCTTATAACGCGGGTCATGCCGGACTTCAAAAGTGGACAAGCTCGATTTGTGAGCAAGAAGGGAGCTGAAGGAACGTTTACCCAGTGAGTGTTTTTGATCCTCTATAAATTTGTCGTAGGTAAGACTTTAGCTACTCCCGTGACTGTGAGGAAAACTGAAAAATTGTGACTGGAAGCAAGACCTACGTTTTTTAGTTTGTTGTTACAGTACATATGTGCCTTTTGTCTTTCTTATTGGAGAGTGCAGGGGAAGGGGGTTGGAGGGCGCCACTAGTAGGTCCTACATCTTTACTTTTACTCTATTGTTTCTGTATGTCTGTCTTACTTTTTCCCAGCACTAAATGACCATTATTATGTCGATCTGCCTGTCTTTACTCAAACTAACAAACAGACAGACACACATGCTTTCCTATCAAAGGGAAATTGTTGTCCAGATTGAATGTTTCTGAGCTAAATGCTTGGCTGTAAGTAATGTCTCGACAGTTTGTAAGATGGTGGTCACTGAGCTTCCTGGTGCAGATGTAACACAGATGGAATAGAAGATGCCTAGTCTGAGAGAATGAGGAGGGAAAGAAACTAACTTTGAATGCATTTTAATTGCTACAGAGAGAGCATTATCTCAATTAAAAGATTTATCTTATTCCCTCGCTTTAGTCGTAGTCTACAGTATTGTTCTGTTTTGGTGTACATAAAATCTTTTAGAATATTTTCGCATTGTCATTAGAATCTCTTTTAGTTTTAGAAAGAGAATTTTCTTTTTCTGAGGATTCATATTGAAGAACTAACTTTTATGGTGGGGGGTGGTTCTCTTGAACATGCAAATGAAAACTTTGCCTCTTTAATGCCCAGGTATGCCAAAGACAACTTGAAGAAAGTGGGCGTGGATTTCTCAACAGTACCTCCGGAGTTGCTCCATGAATGCGAGAGTATGGCTTCAAAGTGGATGCCTGTGGTGGGCTTCTACACACTGCGCCTGAGTTTGGCACCGGCGGTGGAGACCTTGCTGCTTCTGGATAGGATGCTGTTCCTCTTTGAGAAAGGTTCATTTTGAGTTTTTGAAATTAGTTTTGTGTAGTGTGTGTTAAATACCAGAGAGAATCTGGACCAGCGTCTGTGATGTAGTAGTCAGGTGCTTCGCTGTTGTATGCAGGAGACTCGAGTTCGATTCCCGAGTGGGGAGAAATTTTTATCGAGTATCCCGGTCTTTCTGCTAGGATCTTGTATCCTCTTCAGCACAGGTTGGCCCTGACAGGCAAGGTCGGAAGCTAACCTCCATAATGATTTAAATTGGGTCGATGGGAGTGTAAAAACACCTACATTAGAAAAAAAATTAAAAGAGAAGCGCTTAAGTGGCTCCCATCCACAAGTAGAAATGAACTCTTAAATACTCAAGATGTGGCAAACTCTTCTCTACTAGAATTGGTCTCTCATTAGCCAGAGCTGCAGCATTTTATCATCCACCAGCTTTAAAAAACATGTCCAAGATAGCCACGCAATTCTCTTATGGCCCGATGTATAATCATAAATTTATTTACCTGTCATTATTGTTAGACTGTCCCATGAAGGAATCAATCACTTACGAGCATGTTGAGTAGGACGGATTTTTGGTCCCTCCCACTGTTTACCCAGTTTGAATAGTTGGTAACATTTTAACTGTCTTTAAAGCAGTCCAAAGTCTATGACCACTTCCAGTTGGGACCTCTCTTAGGAATAGTTTGTTTTCTTCATTTTGATCATTTCTGCCCAAGACATTCGCCTGTCTCGAACAGCCATTTTTCTCCTGGGCAATGGGTGGCCGTCTTTGACAATTTCAACTGCATTATTATCAGTTTTGTGTAATAGATTTTCCTTTTACTAGACTCTTGGGTGCTAACTTTTTCATATTTAGAATTTGACTACATTGTCACTAAAACTGAAAGATTGTATTTGCATTATTTCAATCTGTGGACTTATTATCTTTAAAAGTATTTTAAGTACATAAGCGATTTTTTTTTCTAAAGCTGGGAGTGGGAGGCTGTTGGAAAGGGATTTTGATCCAACAGTGTCAGGCAATAGGGTTTTATCCGAAAGCTACAGCTTATAACAGTTTTACCATCTAATATTTTATGTCAGCATGTCAATATGGACTTAAGCCTTCCTTTACTCAGACGGAGTCAAATCTAACTGTAAATTGCAGGTCTTTTTAAATGATCAGACATTCAAGGATGGTTTTTGTGTTTTGCTGAAGACTGTAGCTTTCTGTATTTGCTGTTGTTAATAGACAAAGTTTGTAAAATTAAAGTGTATACGGTCATCCTTTGAACATTTGCTGAGGGTAAGATTTGTATTTCTTGAAGATATCTATACTCTTAAGAGAATCGATGTTGCTCATATTATGTTGAAAAGACTTAGAGACAACTAATTGATTTTTGAATTTGCTGCCAAGTTAGTTATTTTTCATTATAACTATTGCTTTCAAATGTCCTTTCTCATCTTAACGACATGCTGTCCCAATTCATTTTGTATATTTTTTTGCTTCTTATAAACACTTTATACAACTGGCTCCACTTGTGTTGAACTTGCTTGAGTTGATCTTCAGTTATGTTGATCTTTCTCTCGGGTCCCAGCACCTCTTCTTCTTTACTGGTCCCAACAGCTAAATTGAACTTTGGATGAGTTAATCTTTTTTTCACTCCCGTGGCGACATCAACTCGTCCAAAGTCGACTGTACTGACTCTGTCACTGAAAAATACTAACATTTCTCTTTTTTTTTCTTTTGCAGGCATCCCATCAGTGTTAGTGCCAATATTTGACTCCAGCATTTCACCGAGAAATTTTGCATTATTAGCTGTGAAACCAAAGGGAAACACTGAAATGTATTGCAGTTGACATTCCAAAGTTATGTGATATTTCAATGTCTCTATCTACTTAATAAAAGGAAGAAGTTCTTGTTTCTTTTGATGTTGCTTTTTTTTCTTCTGAAATTGTTAAGAGTTATTCGTTTGGGATGGGTTCACACTTAACACCAGGCATGTCAAACTCAGGATCTCTTGAGGACCATACAGGTCGCATATGTATTACCAGGAGGGCCAAACAACATAGCTACATGCATTTGCCCATTCTCAACTTGATTTAATTGAAGGCCATTTCATAATTATTTTTGCAGAATATATCTGTCACTTAAATTAAGAATGTGGGTGGTTGGCGGGTGGTCTGGTGTGGTTTGCTTCTTCTTTCCTATCAAACATCTATCGTCCTTATCTCCCCTTCTTCTTTTTTATGTTTGTTACTCTCTTGTAACACCTATAATCTTCTGGCGCTTATATGACCTTATGCAGTTGCGAGTGCTGTAAAACCTCTACTAAAACTATATTAACTTAAATTAAGAATCATACAATGTGAATACAAATGTTTTAACATTCACTAATGAAAAAATAATTAAGTGTATGGGTCTAACGCCACTATCAACACTATTAGTTAATTTAAGATGTGGGACCTCCGAATTTAACCTCCCTCTTCGATAGGATTGATCCAAATGGGTTGAGGGCCCACAAAACAAACAGAATTCGAGAATGTCTAGCCTGGATTCAATTCAAAGCCATCTGCTCTGTAGTCGAGCATGATACCAACTGAGCTAACGAAACACAATCATGAATGCAAAGTAACTTGACAAATAATATAGATTTAACACTTTGCAGTCACACTGACAGCTGTATGAAATACCCCATCTGGCCTCCCAGCCAGGAGAGCAACTTCCACGGACTTCTCTGGAACGGATAATTTTTACTGGTGCATTATTGGGCCAAGGGACTGCAAAGTATTAAATAACGGCATATTCTCTCAGTTTACAGTAAGATCATGTGTGTGTGTGTGCATAATATGGTGTGTTTATGTGTGTGTGTGTGTGTGTGTGTGTGTGTGACTAGTGAGAGAGAGGGGGAGAGAGAGAGAGAGAGAGGGAGAAAGAGAGAGAGAGAGAGAGGGAGAAAGAGAGACGAACGGGTGGAGGAAGCTAAATTTGATAAAAGTTTCAATGTCTATGTTATCTGTAAATTTATGATGGCAGTGTTATTAGTATTAGGTAGGTGTTTAAAAAAGTGTTATCTATACTGGTGTACAGTATGAGAAACACAAGAAAGCAAATTGTGTAAAAAAAAAACTTTTAATATTGTGGAGCATTACTATCAGTCAATATAGAACACAGCAAGCAAAAGTCCATTACTGTATTGGACAAATTACTTTATGTGCAATATATAGTCCTCTATATTACTGTAAAGCAACTCGGCACAACATAAGCACAAATTATCTGATTACACAGCAGAATCTGCCAAGCATTCTAAGCATTGCAAAAGTAGAAAGCATCAGAACATAGGAAAAGGGACATTTTTACACAGGCTACAAAACAACAGAAGTATGTTATATAATTACAGACTTATATGATAGATTCTATCAAATGTTATGGAAGTGCATCCAGTTTCAAGTTCTTACTTCTTCGAGTTGTATTATATTCACTAGCTAAAGTATTACATGTATTAGACCTATACATTACATGAATGACAACCTCATGACATGTTTTAGATATTTATGTTACATCAGTAATATGCTCCTAAACAAAAAAGTACCTTGAACTGGAAGCTTCGAAAATACATATTTTTCTTATACCCAACAGTCGGGTTGATCTAGGTCTTAGTTCCCAGGTTAGCTTTCAAAGAATGCCACAGCTTCAGTGCCTGTGAAGGGTATGTTTCCTTGTCTAAAGAAGGAACCTTACTTCGAGGTTTTTTGTACATCTCTGTACAATGCACCATATTCACATCAAATTTACCAAGAGCATGACAATATGCAACTTGTAGTGGTAATATTAGACACCTTTCTTGCCTTCAACTTTTAAGAATAGTACTGGCAATATAAAAGACAACACAGTTACCAATATTACTTCCATGCGACCTGATTGTACTGATTCATGGACGTGGAACAATTGAGCAGTGTTTGGACTAGTATTTGGGTCTTACATGGCTATGAAATATGATAATATTGAAATACAAATATGTATCACACCAGTATCCATAGTATTGAAAGAAGTAAAACAATTACATGTAATTATAACATTAATAATAATAATGAAAAGTGATTTGGTTTTTGGAATAATAAAAAGTGAAAAATGTACAAATTTACAAATAATATGTCGTTTTTAAATGTCTTCTGAAGTAGCCTTCATGATATGACTATATAAAAAATGGCGTACATAAAATGATGATTGTATTTCGTGTTTTGAACAATTTCTCATAGGCAACTCACTCAACATGCCGTGTGTACTTGTAATACTCTCTTGAGATACCTTTAATACTGATAATCTATGAAACAAATTTACCGTCAAGCATCTATAATTTCATTTATAACCACGGCAAAACAGAGCTTAACCCTATACGTCGTGTTTTACTATCGTATCCATACGACGTGGTAAACTCTGTGCCACCACTTTCCAAAGAGGAAATTTACTGGTTAATCCAATCCGTAGCCTACGCTTTGCATAGCAGTCTGTCAAAATGATTTTTTGAGAAGTACTGAAAGTTTCATAGAGATCTTCGAGCTAAAAGTATTCTAAAATGTGAAGAATACAACCCCGGGGGGTACAAAATGACACCAGGGCGTACGGATACGGTTAAATTGAAGTAAACTAAAAAAATTCTTTTTTTTCAATGCTGGTCTAAGCTGTCGGAAAATGTCGACAAGATCCCCTCGATCCAGTCTCTGTAGGAAGCCACTCGTGTGAACACGCTGGGGTAGCCGGTAGTCTGGCAGCCGCTCACGCCCCATGAGGTGACGCCCGCCAGGAAATGGTAGCCGTCTTTTCGACAGATCAGCGGCCCGCCAGAGTCTCCCTGTTGTCACGGGGAAGGAAAGTATCATGTAAAAGTCTAGGGTTTTATGCACCCCGCATAATTTAACAAAATGTGAACATTTTTTTTTCATAATTCCTGACTATTTTCCTTTATCATTCTTCATTAATAAAATAAAAGAATCGCATAATTTCACATTTTTTGGGCTCTGCATACTTTCAGAACTTTTTTTTGGGCATAAAATAGCGGGGACAAAATTATAGTAGGTGTATGGGTTTATTGATGTCCCTGTCAACACTTAAGATAAGATACATCTTTATTATCCAGATCGTGGCACATTGGTTTTGTGTTTTGTAATACACACACACACAAACACACACACACACACACACACTCACACACACAAACATACACACACACACACACACAAAAACATGCACACCCACGCATGTGCACACCCAAAACACATAACTTAGATTATTTAAGAGGTTAGACCCCCAAGTTCACCGTCTGTTTTCGATAGGACCGAGCCAAACTTAAAAAAACCAAACCGACCCGAATTCAAGAACGCCCAGTCTGGGATTCTAACCAGGGCCATCCACTTCATGGTCTAGCGAGATACTGATACCTGCTGAGCTAACGGAGTGCCCTGTTATAGGTCCAAAGTACAATTCTGAGTAATTTGAAAGCTATTCCACCTTTGTGCTTGTACGCAATCAATTTTGTAATCCAGTTTTTTTTAGCATTTTAAAATTCCCTATTACTCTACTTCTGGCTCCAGCCTATTTGGAAAAAAAAGCCAGACTAACTTACTAAGTAGAAACGATAAGATCCATGCAATAAACTACAGTTACACTGCAGATGTGATGGGTTTTCTGGGGTTTCATAGAACTTGATGATGATGATGCCCACGTGGGACGCTCACTGATAAAAACAGTCAGGAAAAGACACTTGCAGTTTTTGGGACACCTGAATAGACATAAAGGTCTTTAACATCTAGCTCTCACTGGCAAAATTGAAGGCAAACAAGGCTGGGGTAGGCCCAGAGCAACCTACTTAGAGAACCTAAAGAGATGGGTAATGGTCAGGGTAACGTAGCCTTTTTAAGAGCATCCGAGCAAAGGAATGATACGGAGAACCATGATCGCTGATGTCTGCCGCAGATCTGGCACTTGATGATGATGATTATTATAATGATAAACAACCTGGAGTATTGCCTTGCGTCAGCTGAACTGCACGTCGCACGTCGTATTAACTAAAAGCTAAATGTGTGAGTGTTTTTAAAGTGTTTTTTTGGTCTTTGGGTCTTTTCTTTCACTTTCGGTGTTTTAATGTGGCGTCGCTAGCCTAGTGGTTAGGCTACCGGACTCGTAATCGTGAGGTTGCGGGTTTGGGGTTCGAGCCATGGGCCCGACGTTGTGTCCTTGTGAAAGGCACTTTACACGAATTGTCCCCTCTTCATCCTGGTGAAAATGGGTACCCAGCTATAGACAGTGAAAGATCTTGTCAGTATATTAGTGTTTGAGCGCTTAACCAGCTGCTTGCACTGTATGCTTCCCGGAAAGCTAAGAATGTTTATGAGTGTTATATAGTCTGCTGGGGTAATAATAAAGTGTAACGCGCATAGAGCTTGCTTTCTAGTGGGGACATGCGCTATACAAATGCTATTTATTATTAATTATTGCTACTATCATTATTATTATTATTATTATTATTATTATTATTATTATTATTATTATTATTATTATGTGCCCATCTATTGGCCTACGTTTTAGATTATTTTAGGAGGCAGGATTTCACCCTGTCTGTCAGGGCCAACCACCCCGGGAGAGAGGAATGTGTAACGAACCAGCAGTAAAACAGTGATACTCTATAAACATTTTCCCAGCACAGGAATCGAACTCAGGTCTTTTGCTTGCCTCGTAGCTTGTTTGTTCGCACGCAAGGACGTTATATTATAAAAGCACAATGATGATGATGATGATGATGATGATGATGATGATGATGATAATAATAATAATAATAATAATAATAATAATAATAATAATAATAATAATAAATAGCATTTGTATAGCGCACATCTCCGCTCGACAGCAAGTTCTATGCGCTTTACACTATATTATTACCCTTAAGATTACACTGGTCAGCAGAAATGTCAACACTAGACAACCAATCTGCTTACTTTATGGGAGTTTTTGTTGTTGTTGTTCGCTGATTTCAAACCTAAAAAATGTTCGTTTGTTTGTTTCTTTTCTATCACGTCACGATTTTTAATGATTGACCATTTTGATTTTTGTAATAAACATTTTGTATAAAATTGTTTGGCCTACATAGACAAAACAATTTGTGTTATGTATATGTGGAAAATTTACTCCACAAGAAGCTGATAAATGAAGTCAAATTAACAAACATTTTGAAGTATAAATTATGGTGATCTAGACAAACAATAGTCACATCAAGTTAATCAACAGAAACTTTCTGAAAGTTTTTGTTGATTAACTGGAGGCACATGTTAAACATTCTCCTTGCCAACTACATTTTTGCCTCCATTCTGGCTGTAGTTTTCTGTAATTATAATGACTTGCACCACGACAACTATTTGAAAAAGCACAACAAATACATATTACTAATAATGTTTAGCATATTCCATTTGCATTCCTATAGTAACAGTCACTGTGATGCTGTGTTTGTTCCCGCCAGTGAACATGAGTTCATAGCCGCAGCAAAATGTGTCACTTTCTGTCTTTGTCCATAAACCAATTCAATAATCCAGACTAGTGAGCTGTGCAGCTCTTACGTAGGATACAACACCCATGTTCAGAAACACTGATAAACTCGATAAAAATCCTTCCTTTACGGGAATCGAACTTACGTCTTCTGTGTACGAAGGTGGAGACCTTGCCGCTACACGACAGACGCTAGTAAAATATGGAGGGAAGATGGCTAAAACGATAGATCTGCAAAAGTAGTCTCGCCCGCATGTTGAAAAATCGACGGGACACCGCAATCTTTTTTGTTATGTACGAATTTCGCTATGTGCGCGTTTTAAATACAACGAATATAATGTATAACTGGTGGAAGAAAATTCTGGAACCGAAAGTCGGTTTGGTATGTACCTGTTTCGCTATGTGCGTGTTTGCTTTTTGCATGCCAAGATGTATGGGTATAAAATATAAATATCATTTTTATTAGTGACACTTCAACTCATTAAGGGAAGAACTTGACATGACGAAGAAGCAGATAGCAACAGGAAAAGAGTAAAACCAGTATTAATAATTTGACGGGATTCGAACACACGACCTTACAGTTGCGAATCCGAAATGTTAACCACAAGACCACCGACGCCACAAAGCTTGCCGTCAAAGAAGTGAGACTTGACAGGGGGGAGAAAAAAATGTTATTATATTATTGTTAGTGTTTAGCGCATGTAAAACATCAGCTTGCACTATGTTACTCTCCAGGAACTTTAA